GAACAGCATAGAGCAAATCTGTTAGTAAAAACAAGCGGAAATCTTTCCCAAAAAGCATGCAAAGGTGGTAGAAACTTATCCTAACAGACTTAAAGCTGTTACTGCAGTAAAAGGCGGTTCTACCAAGTACAGGTCTAAAGGTGTTAAAATACTTATTTTTTTATTTTTTTGAAGATCTGCAGATAAAAGGTCATTTTGGCCTTAAAAATAGACTTCAAAAGTATATTAGTTGTCAATGAAAGTACAGTCTGGAACTATCTGTATAAATGTCATTTGGAATCCAGACAAATCTGATGAATACTGGTTGAATACTTTTGCAAGGTATTGTATGTACATTACTGCAATTCAAAATATATCCAGTGGGAGTCAACAATGTTCTGACAGAACAGATATGTTTCCATTTTAATCAATGTTTTGAGTTCATACCGGCTGCTCTAAATGCGTGACCCTGTGTTCTGACGTGTTTTAAGCATCAAGGCTTTTCACTTGAATGCATGATTGAAGCGTAAACTCCTCACACATCCAGTCAAATCCCACACTCCTACTTTCTTTAGTGCTTCTTAATGCAATACGATGTTAGGATTTTGTTGTCCTGCGACTCCTGCGCTGTGCTAATGGTGTAGCTACTCTTCTCTGACAGCAGTTGCTTGCAAGCGTTTCACTTGCTCTTCGATTGCATGGCACCAATACGTCACGTCTACGAAGACGGTGGTTTACAAACATTTTAGTCCCCTACCTCCTCAGATATTAAACCTCCTGCTGTGTATCCCTGCTCGCTCCTCACAGACACACAAACACAAAGTGCTGAAAGACAAATGCTTTTTTTTTTAAATCAGAATTGCATTTTGAAAGCGTGCAATTTTCAAATTGCAAGAGCTGCAGGTTTAATCACAGCCTACATTATCAACAAACTTAACCTAACCACACAGAGCTTGAGAACCACCTGTAGATTAAGTTGGACCAAAGAGAAAAAACAACCACCCACTATGCTCTGTGTTCAAGCCTACAGCATGAGAAAGTATATATTTTGGTCTTCTTGGCCAAAAAAGGCCTGGAACTCAATATGCAGTAGAAAATCACATTACAAATCACAATGTTCGTCATAAAAATTACAATTAGATATTCTGCCCAAATCGTTTGCTCACACATAAGTGCATATTGCCATGATGCATATCTAAGACATTTAGTCATGCAAAATCAGTCCATCTTAATATATCAAACATGTTTATGATACAATGACAACACACCAAAAGTACTAAATAATAAGTAATTAAAACAATGTTATAGATGCTTCTGCATTACTGTGTGGTTAACTCTGGAGTGCTGGCACAGGGAAAAGGAAGGGGATTTAACTTATTTTATAATTACAATTGCAGCAGTATAGGCAGTGCTCAATATTATATAATTAATATAATGAAGGCACGTGTGAGAGAGCGTCTGGCTGTAAAATGAACAGCGAACAACAAAATGTTCACAAGCATGTGCTACAGATTACATACATCACATTAACATCATCTGAAGACTATTTAACAGCACTAGAGCACAAAGCTCTACAGACACACAGTCAAAATCAAAACTGCTAAGTGTGCACTGGAAAAATTATGCTGTGTTTATGTTTACGTTGAAAAAAAAAGCTAAAATAGGAGGACGGCAATGTCACACGCATTTGTTATATCACACTCACTCATTACTTATGCACACACAAAATGTGTAAAAGGAGATTCATAAATAGATACAGCCATCACTGTATCAACAAGTGTGTTGTTGTAAAGTATATTAACATCAGGTGCAGATAAGATACTCTAAATACAACGCAGTGCGAAAATCTGCCATTGTCTTTTGATGGAACTCAAGTTCCGCTCCTCTGTGCAAAATGTAAATAAAAACAAAATGCAGTGACATGCAAATCATTTACACCCTACATTTATTCAAAAATAGTACAAAAACAACAAATCAAATGTTGAAACTGAAACTTGTTTTTTGAAAAATGTATGTCCAATTTGAATTTCATGCTAGCAACACATTTCAAAAAAGCTGGGCAACAAAAGGCTCGTAAAGTTGTGTAATCCTTAAAAAATAAATAAATTAATTAATTAATTAACCAATGAGGGTAATTGGCAACAGGTCAGTAACATCACTGCATAGAAAAAGAGCATCCCCGAGAGGCTGAGTCTTTCAGAAGTAAAATAACAAAGAACTTGGGGATTTCAGCATCTTCGGTACATAATTTCATTAAAAATTTCTGAGAATCCAGAGAAAGCTCTGTATGCAAGAGACGAAGCTGAAAACCAGTACTGGCTGACTGTGACCTACGGGCCCTCAGGTGGCACTGCATTAAAAACAGACATGATTCTGTGTTGGAAATCAATGCATGGGCTCAGGAACACTTCTGAAAACCACTGTCTGCTCTGTGAGGGTCCATGGGGGTCCTGACCACTGAAGAACAGGGTAAAAGGGGGCTAACAAAGTATGCAGAGAAACAGATGGACTACAGTCTGTAACTGTAGAACTACAAAGTGCACCTATATAGTAAGTGGAGCTGATAAAATGGACAATGAGCGTAGAAACAAGGAGGTGGTCATAATGTTATGCCTGACTGATCGGTGTGTGTGCATATATATATATATATATATATATATATATATATATATATATATATATATATATATATATATATATATATATAGATAGATAGATAGATAGATAGATATATAGATAGATAGATAGATAGATATATACATAGATAGATAGATATCTGCACACAAAATGGTCAGATGGATGAACGGACCATTAGCCATTAGAATCTGATCCAGGAAGTTCACAGAGAGTGTGTGTGTGTGTGTGTGTGTGTGTGTGTGTGTCCACATATCTCCACACTGGACGTCCCTCGTGCTGGAAAAACAACATTTACTTTAAGAGTGAGTGTGTTATTTTAACAAGTATATTATATTAATTATGCGGGACACATGACACCCCCCCAGACCCTTCAAAAGACACTCAGGGGTGCCAAAGACAACTGCATCTGGGTGTACAGAGCAGGCACCAATCACACGCCGTATTTCATCTCAGGAAGCGGTTAGTGTAAGAGCCGGACACAGCCGGACCCTGTCCAGCCAGTGAGCAGAATTCAGTCAACGTCTGCAGACTGCGCTCACTGCTGTGTCTGATGTATGCTGATGTGGGGCATGTAGTTTTGCTAGCTACTGCATTATTCAAATCTCTACTATAAATTGCCTTTAAAAGTGCAGTAATTTTTTTTATTTACATTAAAAAAGCATTAAGAGGTCAAACTAAATTACACAAAAGCCTTGCACTGTTTCACTGCACTTGCTGCTGTTTCTGAAGCAGTTCAGGCTCTCCTCTACCAAAAAGATATGGAACTAGAATGACCAAACAGCCAGACACTGATGGAAATAATAACTAAGGCTGCACCATATATAAAATTTATATAAAAATAATATATAAAAAAGTGTTACAGACAGTGGCCACCGCAATGCTGATATTACAGAAGGCTGCAAAATGCAAATGAGCTATCTGTTGTCATAAATCAAGGCATTCACGTACATCCAACAACAGTAAGTTATTCTGGTCAAAATAATGCTGGCCAGTATGAACCACCTCACATTACTAATTAAGCATATATACTGGGGGATGAATGCTCAGAATCGGCAGATTCTTGCTCTAAATACCAATGTATTGTTTTGATTCTGTCTGATCCGTGTTGCAATTTTCTTTGTTAGTGCTAATTAGCTAGTTGCCTTTTACTTTGATGTTATTTAAACAGGCATCTGATTTTTTTCAATTACAAATTTCGAATGAAAGTTTATTATGATATTATGTTATTTAAATTGAAACTCTGGCTAACAGAAAAAACTGTAAATGTGCTAGAGTGTACCATGTGTTTATTTAGCCCACACAGTTTAAGCTTCAGGTAAAAAAAAAGGAGAAGAAATCAGAATCTACCATAAAAATGAACGATCATTAAATTTCGACTTTTACAGATCAGTAATAAGTGGTAATAATATGGCTAATATTATGCTAGCAAAATATATTTTCTAGTCGTTACCAAATTATAAATAACTAATTGTAGCAGTAAGAAGTTGGTAATAATATAATAATGGTAACACATGGTACAAACCTAAAAATTACATGCAAATTTTCTGGTAAAAATAATGGTAAATAATTCTAATTACCCATAAATAAAATGCCAATTTTCAAACTGATACAAAATAATTAATAATTATTAAAGAAGAAGCAAGTAATAGCACACAATTCCTCAGTCACTGTAGCCTTCTTTTTTTAATGATATTACATAGTGTCCAGCATATTATCTGTATGAAGTACAGACTCAGTTTCAGACTGTAATTACAGTGAACCTAACTGGTATAGGACCTGCGAAACTTGCTTCTTTCCATCTTGTTTCTCAATTACTGTATCTCTCAACAAATTCTGACTAGATTATTGCATTATAATTTCTCATGGTTGTTCTATTACTTTTACACATAGGCCCACCTACACACAAATGTTGTTACCCAAGTATAGATGAGTTCAATATACAGAGACTACACAGAATCAGGGCTGGGAGATGCGACAACACATGCTCCTTTTGTATTACCTGTTATCAAATTACTGCTAATCTATTATAAAGCATAGATCTGGAAAAAGACATTAGTTCAGTGATGTGAAACTTTATCATATATCTTTATACAACATGTTTATCTTTCTTTATCTTAACATATTATTTATTAACAACGGAAAATTAGCATGCAATTTTTAGGTTTGCACACCCTTTTACCACAATATAGCCATATCACTACACATTTAGTACTGATCTGGATAAGAGCTATACAAAGGAAATATAGTAACAATACTAATATTTCGTTCCAAATGCCATTTAGAGGTTTCCGTTCTTCTTCAAATTAAGACAGTCACATATTCAAGAGCAATTCTTTCTCACACCCAAATCCCAACACGCACGCACACACAGCTATGTGGCTTACCTAACAGGGTGGTGAGTTTGGGCAGCAGGCCCACCTGCACCATCTTGCTGCGGAGGCCTGTGTCGAAGGAGAGGTTGAGGAGGAGACGGAGAGTGACATTCAGCAGATCTTCATGTTCACAGGGCACCAACTTAGCCAGCTTCTCCACTGTGTCAGTTTCAGCCTGGCACACAAGCACACACATAAACACACATTAAATGCAAGGACATTGCATAAAAACAGTGTAACACCAGAAAGTACGACAGAGAAATGACAGGGTGAAGAAAAAGACGGATCAACCACGAAGGAAAAAAATGATAAAAGATAGAAAACACTGGCATAAGGCTTTCAAAAGTGAACCAGACCTTCACTACTTGCTCCTGCACTCCTTCAGTCTGTCTCAGCAGAAACACACCACCCCTTTTCACAGGCCCATGAATGTGCAGTGAGGTCTGCAGCACTGTTTTAGTGATGTGGCTTCGGCCCGGCTTGTTAACACATCTGTGGACCACTACAGCTGTGCTCCCACTCAGCCGCAGCCACAAAGACTGGAGAAACCTGAGCCCCATTACAGCCACTGAGCAGTGGCTCTAACCTGTTTTTAACCAGGTCTTCAACGCTAATGACTGCTACTGCAACCATTTATTAGGAATCCCACCACAGTCCACACCAAAACCATCAGAAAAATCTGTCAAAACAATCAGGGCCTAACAGTTACATACAAACCTCTGTCATCATCACAATAACCAGTTAGACTACACCAAGAACTCTGTGTGGTCTCTTCAGCAAGTCATTAGATCAAAGGGGCTTTCTGACTGTGCTCAGCCTTCCCTGAGCACAAACAGCGAGATGTACAGTAGAGAGCAGTGTTTAGTCAAGGATCAGTGGTACAGTGAAAAATCTGATTTACACAATTGTCCCTTTACTCCAAACATAGTTGATGAGCCAAGACATGTTTGGTCTCCGAAGCTCGCTTCTTTAGTTTTGCACAAAGCTAAGGCAGCTAATGCAGTTAACGTCACATTAACCAAGCTTCCAGCGGTTTGAGAGTTATTACCATTTTGAAATGTTTACTAGTTTTTTTGGCTTAAGTCTGAGTTTAGTTTCAGTTGGTGACTGCATTTAATGTGTGTTTACGTGTGTGCTTGTGTGCCAGGCTGAAACTGACACAGCGGAGAAGCTGGCTAAGTTGGTGCCCTGTGAACATGAAGATCTGCTGAATGTCACTCTCCATCTCCTCCTCAACCTCTCCTATTTTGTCAGAAACAGAATTTACAGTAATTCCAAACTGGACTAGGCTGTCCTACAAGCACTGACAACATGAAAATGACAAGACTATGCAATTTTGATTTAGACTGTGTTTATGATATGCTTTTTTTTCTTACAGTTTTTCTCACATTTTATTTTTTTAACTGAGAACGCTGATTGTTCGCATCCATTGATGCTTTCATTGTAGCATCAAGACTATACCACTGCACACTTGCGCAGGAATAAGTTGAGCTGTAAAGTAACATTAAATGACGGTTGTGCTGCCCGCTCGGGTTTACATACCACACAGGAAAATGTCCTTTTAGAATGTGACTCATTTTTATCGATTTTGATTTTCTGGATTGTGCACAACGCTGCACTGCAGTCTCCAATATTTGTATTTCCCTCTTTCAATCATGCAATGTACTCGGGAAATGCAAACATCAAGCCAACTAATCAATAACTTGATGTGTTGCCAACAATTTTTAAAACCAATATCAACGATTTAAACACAAAAAAGTACATTTTTATTTTTATATACACTGATTTATTTAAAACTCCAGCAGCACTGCTGTGTCTGATCCACTCAGACCAGCGCAACACACACTAACACACCACCACCACATCAGTGTTCCTGCAGTGCTGGGAATGATCCACCACCCAAATAGTACCTGCTCTGTGAGGGTCCATGGGGGTCCTGACCACTGAAGAACAGGGTAAAAGGGGGCTAACAAAGTATGCAGAGAAACAGATGGACTACAGTCTGTAACTGTAGAACTACAAAGTGCACCTATTTAGTAAGTGGAGCTGATAAAATGGACAATGAGTGTAGAAACAAGGAGGTGGTCATAATGTTATGCCTGATCGGTGTATACTCTACAAAAACAAAAAAATATGCATGTAATTCTTTAAAAAGCTTACGATGATGCAGAAGTTTTTCAGCTATGCATGTGCATGTTTTGTTATTGGCTGTTTACCTGAATGGTTAAGTTACTAAGTCTCCACACAAGACAGCATAGTCCTTGTAACACTACATTGCCACCAATCTAATTATGTGATTTTGGTGCCAAGTGTGTGGGGTAATTTAATCCGTTCTGTCTTCGCAGCCCTGAGATATGTTTATCGTAGAAAATCATACCGTGGTAAAGGTAACACTTCAATTTAGTGTGCAGCGCTAATAGCACTCATTTCCAAGTCCGCTATTGGTTACCTACATTAGACTCATAGCTCCAGTGAACAGCTCAACATCAGACACCAAACATACCCTGGCTGACTGACTACATTTGGGATAAGGATAATTGTGTAAACTGAACTATTCCTTTAATGTAACTGGAAAAATAAAACAAAAACCAGGTAATTAAAGTAAAGAAACACAAATACAGACTGATCAGGTACGTCGGCTTTAGGGATGCAATTGTATCTTCCTCACCATATCGTTCTTGTTTTCCAGAAAGATGCTGAGTTTCTTGAGGAAGGACACCACCAACACCAGGAGCTCCTCGTTGTCCCGGTCCAGGGTCTTCACCAGGAGGTGCACTATGTTCTTGTTCCTCATCTTCAGCTCAGTGCGTGTGTCCTCAGACAGGTTTAGCAGCAGATACAGAGCCACTGTTTGAAGCAGAAAAATATAAGCCTCTTACCAGACTCTATCTACTGCAGGAAAAACCACCAACACCACAGAGGTGCACATACCAATGCCCAAGTGCATTACCTCTAAGCAGCTGCTCCTGTTTGGTCAGCAGGCCCTGGTACTTCTTCAAAGCTTTCTCGTACTCTTTCTTCAGGTTCTGGTTCTCTGGGTCATCTTCCCGTTCAATAAGTTAAGGATTTGTAACTTAACTATTACCACAAACTTAGGCTCCATTTACACCTGGTCATTTTATGTCACTTGTATCTGAATTGTATCCGCATAAGATTTACACTTCGTCAAATGCATTTCAAGTTAGTCAGACTGCTATATAGTATTTAATGTGCAAATCAGTGCAGAATAACCAAAGGCCTTTACTGTTTCTCATTTCTCTTTTTTTCCCCTGTTCTATCCAAAAAATAATTGCCACCACAAAAATCACTATTTTGAATGGCATTGTTCACTGTTTCCTGTGCATTATGGCTACGCATTAGTCATCGCGGTCATGGATGACATTATAATGTAATGTACTTGGATGTGTACTGCCTGTCAATTGTGGCTTGGAGAGACAGATGTACTTACACTAAAACATCCGGCTAGAAAGCGTTTCAGACTCCTGAAGACTGGTCCGGCTGTTTTACGAGGCTGAAGTCGCTTCTCATTCGCCAGCTTCTCGTTCTAATTTTCCTATTTCACCTTAAATTCTGCCTTGGCGCTGAATGTAACTGCTGCACCATTTAAGGTGGAACGGGAAAATACGAAAGAGAAGCGAGTTCATTTTCGCAACTTTTTTTAACCCTCGTTGCAGATTTAACCAACCGCGCTGCTTATAAATGTGAATAAGTCCTCCAAATGTTCGTCTTAATCTGTTTTTTCGTTCGCTACTGGCGAGGCCAGACCTCGGTGCTATGTGACCTGCTGTCTGCTGTCTGTTCTCGGTCGTTGAGAACCAGGGCTTTCACGCTATGCTGCACACTTTGGAGCCGAGATTCAGCGTCCAGTCTCGAAAATATATACAATAAATTGTAAAATATAAATTTAAATCTTAAAAAATTAGACATCAAAAGGAATTTAGATGTTTTATTCAACATTATTATTATTATATGTAGTGTTATTACACACTGATGAGCCAAAACATTATGCCTAACATGCTGTTGGTCTCCCGCGTGCCGCCAAAGACCTCTGAAGGTGTCCTGTGGTATGTGGTAGAGGTCTGCACGGGACTGTTTTTTTTTAGTCCTGCTCCCACAAGTTTTCATCCCACTCCCACCTGCAACCGAAACGTTTTGGCCCGCTCCTGCGCAGTTCAAACAAGGCAAACTGACATCCAACATATGACACAGTCTATTCACAAATACATTATCCTCGGCTGAAATAACACGCCAGTCATGGTCATCATGCTCACTGTGAAGTAACTTCACCAAATGCCATTTACTTCCAGCAAACACAAAGCACGAACTAAACCACAGAATGGTTACTTTTGGTCTTTTGCTGGGCTTGGCATCTGTGGCCGTCGGACTATAGGCTCCACATCTCTGGAAGCTACAAAAATTGTGTGTTGTTCAATAATCGTTGCATTTGGCACTGAAATGTGCAGAAGTGTGTTCTTTGTTGTGCCTTTCACTCAGAAAATCACCATGCAAAACATGCAATTTCACCAAAACAGCTCAAACGTTTGCATCGGTCTCAAGTGTTGGGTTGCTATTGGCCTAGTGTGCTTGAATGTTTGGACAAACACTCAGGCACTTAATGCGCAAATTGAAGGGTTACAACGGGATATGTTAAGATTTACCCATGTAGCCTTTAAAAATCTAGGGTTCTGTTTAAAACAGACAAAAAAAGCAAGCTTTCTTTGACCACTGACTTAACCCCTTGGCCTGTGTGACTCCCCAGCTCCCTTCAAGCTCTGACCAGTCACTCAGAAAGGATATCAGCCTTTTTCTTCTTCTGCAGCTCCTCCTGCCACAGGTCATACCTCTTCAGCTCGTGCTCGATAATGTTCATACACAGAGCGCCAATCTTGTAGTAGGTGATCAGTCCATGGAATTGGATGAAACTGAGGAAGGAACACTTAATTGATTTGACTCAGAGACCTGGACTACATTCAGCCATGCCAAAATAAAGCTTTAGTAAGTGTCAAACACAGACTATGATTGATGTGAACCAATTCCCTTTTACCGTCCAGCAGAGAAACACTGAACGGGAGCAGAGCCAAGAACTACTATGGGTTTTCACAGTCACCTATGCAATCCATTGTTCAAATTGCTTTTGACAGTAGACAACATACTGTATTATGATGGAGCAATTTAGCTCTATTATTTCACAAAATGAAAACAAGCCTCCATAAATGGAATACTGTCAAAGTGCCTCTGCTAGTCAAATGAGAGAGAACGAGAAAGACCTAAAGAAAGGGAGAGACACACATAGAGCAGGCAGTGTGCGCCTAACAGGCGGGCTGCATCGTACCTGGAGAAACAGAAGAAGATGTAGATGATGGTGGTTGCCAGATCTACGCTCTGCTTCCAGTCCTCTCTCAGTACTCGGGCCAGAGCACCCAGGGCCGTCTCTGCAGAAGAGAACATGCAGAACACTCAGTATTAAAACCGATAAATACATTTTCAAGCTTAGCATCTTTTATAGGTACATTCATATGAATTTTAGTAAATCAACTCCTGGCTGAACCTTAGTGGCCACAGTACTAATATTTGTTCGATATAATATTTGCTAGATACATACACAACATGTCCAAAATTATTCAGACACTCCTTGTAATTAGTGAACGCAACTATAAAGGTAGACCCACTGCTGAACCATCACTCACACAGCTTGTATAACTAAAATAAAAAAGCACTGCCAATAGAACTGGCCGCTCTGAAGCAGTCACACATGAGCCTAAGGTCACCATGCCCAACACCAAGCATTAGTTGTAAGGTAAGACCACCCCCAGCACTGGGGCACTGAGCTGTGGAGAAGCTGAACTGTGTTCTCTAGTGTGATAAAGTACCTTTGAGATGAACTTCATTTGTCTCAATGCTATCAAATCCTCACAGTTTCAACATCTAGTGTAACGCCTTCCAAAAAGGGTGGAGGCTGTTACTGCAGCAAATGCAGGACAAACTCTCAGTTATTACTCCTGATTTAAGAAGAAGCAACAGGCAAGTGTCTAAAAACTTGCAGACTTCCGGGGTGGATTTCCTGCACAGTGATTAAGACTCATACTGAACTACACAGCATTTGAAAGCTGGTTCTTCACTGAAAGGACAATATAGTCCAGAACTAGGTTTAATCCCTGGCCAGGAAACAAACCCATGGTATATTTATTTACTCCACTATGAGACATGCAAAAGACAGTCATCCTCAACTTCATCCTCAAAACAAAGTGATCATAAGTTCAAAATCAGCTAAAATCTGATTGGCTAAGCCACGTTTGAGGCAAGTGTAAAATGTCTATCTACATATGAATCCACAAATCAAGTGAATTCTGTATTACTACGTCGAGTTATTAAAACTACTGAACTGTACATGGACTAATCTTAGAATGTTATGTTACTTGGCAACTACAGCCTACTATCAACAAACTACATTGCTCGGCAAAAGAAGTATGTACATTAGTGGGCCTTACTGATTGAACACTGGTGTATTTTATTAGACTCCACTTTGACAGCATTGTACAGAAGTGACAAGCCTCTTGATGCAATGCTTTGTATTGTTTTCACTCTGCTTTGTCTTGTGCCTAACAACATCTGTTAACCATGGTAAAATCACTGTAACACATGGCTTTTAGATCCTTATTGCTTCTTTTAACTCATTTGTTAGGTGAGTTAGATTTAGGACATTCATTGTGGATTCCTTAACATTCCTTCTGATCTGCTAAATCAAAGTGAGTAAGCTATTAGCACTAAAAGAAACTAAGCTATGCTGGGTGAAAGAGTACAGTCAGCATGTATGGAAGCATCAAAAGCAAGTCAAACAAATGTTGGTCAAGTACCACAGCACTGATGTTTGGGGGAACCAGCATTAGGATGCAGAGAGTGAGGGACAGAAAGAAACGGGGGGGATGAGGTTTCGCAAGCCAAACCAGAGGGAAGCAATGGAAGAGGGGTTAAAGCAACACAGAGGGGGGACAGAGTTTCAGTTACAGAGAAGAGAAGGCATGGAGGGCAAGAGGGTCAGAAGAGGCAGGAGGAGGCAGTAGAGGTCGTCTCTCTTGCGGCATGAGAAATGAGACTTCCTCTGTGAGCGGACATGCGTGTTACGCTGTAGCACGCGCCCCCTGGGCCTTCTCGTTTCCGTATGGATCCCGCCGTGACCCCGTTATAGTGTTATCACCATTTCCAAGCACAATAACAGTAATGTCTTCTGACAGGTTCACTGAGGATGTAATGCACTGTGACAGGAGAGATGTACGGAGGACGTGTTGTTTTGAAGGGCAGCAAAGGTGTTGTTATGCAGAGAGAGAACACAGTTGGGAAATAGTCAGTGAAAAGGGATAGTCTCTGAATACATGCATAAAAGGTGAGAGAGGGGGCTTGTACTGCATTATGGCCTGACCATGGGAAATGCAAGTGTCAAGACTGTACACACCCTAATTTAACAGGCATGGTTTTTGATAGCATGAAAAAGTTTTTCGGGGGGCTGGCCAATTTTTAATTTAAACTTATCACAAAGTCTCCAGAACAAAAGTCTAGAAGCAACACTACATTTGTAAAACATGGGCTCAGGAGACAATGAGTTTGACTTAATGTCTGCAGTATGACTAACTGATTAATAACGCTCCTGGTGATTCTCCTGCAGGGTTTTATTGAAGCTGTAATCATATCCACCTGATTCTCACATTTAGCTGCTTCTGAAGGCTTGGTGAACAGAATCAGGTGTTTTCAGTTAGGAGCTTGTATATAATCAAAAACTGGCCAATAGGCTTGTCTCAAAGTTGCAGACTGTTCTGCACTGTGTATGAAGGATGAGGGTGATCAAAGGTCAGTTGAAGGAGTCCTTCAATTGAAGGACGTATTTCTTTGCTGCATTTGAAGGATCCTACAAAGCGGGACAGCCTTCCGTGACATATCGGCCAAGAAATGCAGTCTTCCTTGGCTGCAGCCTTGGCTTTGAGATATGGCTAAAGACTTATCAGTTGGAAATTTTAACATTCATTGTGATTTCTTCCCTTATATTTCTATTTTTTTTTCCTTATGGTAAGAAAACAAAACTGCAAACCAATGGAATATTTTTGAAATAAAAAAAAATGTACTGTGCTGGCTGTTGGTAAAGTGAGCTAATTGTAAAATACCTTTGAAACCTCCTTATGATTTTAATAATTTTGGCCTGCAGAGTAAACATCACAAATGTTTCTGGTTGTATAGCATTTTTTAAACAATAATGACAGTATAATGCACCTAGCAACAAACTCCATGAACAAATAAATGAACAATTAATACGTTATCTGTCAGGTTTTATAGAACTCTGTAGTGTACAATTTCACTGCTCTGTCATTTTATTTTTTGTGTTTTTTGTCCATCAGTGTACTTTTACTACAAAACCCAATAGGCATTACGCAAATGTGTCATATAACCATTGGGACAGTACTCAAGAAAGCCTGAAGGCTAGCCACTCATCTATAGGCTAATCGATACAGCCAAGGTGCTAGCTTGGATTTGTAGGATAGAGCTTACCTCAGGTCATCATCAAACTGTTTTTCAGGCACAATTCAGTTGAGGAATGTCTGCAGAGTGCAACAGGTGTACAGAATATGCAGAGGCAAATGCTAAAGCTAAAGCTGGCTAGTAGATAGCACCTGTGCCCTGCACAAGAGAGATCAGTGTCCATTTCTCTGTCCAGGTTCAGGCCCTAATACCACAAATGCTACATTCTAGTACTATTCTTCTCTCTGTATGAGATCCCCTGCTATATAAGGTAGGATACTATTTCCCTGAAAAAATATACTAAAGTGGTTAGCAACTACTGGAAAGGATATTAAAGGGGAATTTCTGCAGAATTAAAGGATTAAAATTTATACAAAATAATTCATAGTGGATTGATGTGAGATGCTTCATTCCAGAGAAACGTACAAAGTCAGAATTGTTCACAATGGTGGTGATGGGACCCAGACGTCGCATTTTAATACAATTCTGCATTTTTAAATGGCAGAGAGATACCTGCAGGGTGTTGTAATGCAAAATAGTGTGCAAAGAAAACTCATTACCAGTTACAACATGAAACTGTAATAAATCTGTGCCTGATGGTCGAGACATTGCTTTACAATAGCGTTGCGAAGCTTTCTGGCTTAAAATGCATCTTTTAAAATACACTCATGGCAGAGACGCACATGCAGGGTGTTAGAAATGAGACTTCCTCTATGAGCGGACATGCGTGTTACGCTGTAGCTTGTGCCCCCTGGGCCTTCTCGTTTCCGTATGGATCCCGCCGTGACCCCGTTATAGTGTTCAGATCATAAAGAATACTGTAAATCCAAACACAAGGCCTGTGGGCCAGATCAGACACAATCCTATCCAGCCTGCAAAAGTATTTTCATTTTCAATTAGTATTAGCCTGTTTCACAATGTGCTGCACTACAGTCCCCAGCATGCACTGCAACATAATGTACGCTCCAACTCTCCTTCCCCAACAATAGGCATAAAGAAGAACTGAAGCTGCGTTTCAGCTGCAGTTCAACCAACGGAAATACTTAATGCCAGCTCAGCAACTCTGAAACTGAGCCTGAACTTGCAGTAAAGAAAAGATGTCAGGTGTCTAGTTTAAGCAAATAGGTAAGTTTCAAAGACTGAGCTCCTGGGTGCATTTAAATTTTGAACATTTCAAGTATTCATGTAACATTACAAAGTCTACAAAGTGCCTATATTTTACTGCTTAAGTTTTTGCATATTTTGAATAAACAGTGGCCAGTTTGGGTTATAGCACAACATTAATTAAAAATAAAATAAAAACATTTTTTATCTGGCCCACGCATTTGGTGAGATTTTTTAATATGGCCCTTTTACTCGTTCAGTTCGACACCACTGCTGTAGATCTATCTTTACTGGACACAAAATGAATGCCAGAAACAAGGACTTGTCCTTTCAGCCAAAAAAAAGGAGTTCAACCAGAGAGCTGCCAGGCAAAAATACTTCCATTTTGTATGGTTTTGGCAAGAGGAAAGGGGGAGTCATTCCCCTTTATGCAGCTTGATTTACTTATTCTGATGCGAACAAAAAAAACCCCAAAAAAACAACAAAAAAAATGCTGCATACTCAGTTACTGTTCTCCCCTTGGATTTGAACTTGCACCAGATAATCATGGAAGTCTAATTGGCCTTTTAGAACAAAGCCTATAGCTCTTTGGGTGGTGCCTCGTAACAATGAAGAGACTGTGAGTACAAGTTCTGCTTTTCAAAACTCCCCAAATAAACATGAACAAAGGTCTAAGTCTAACTAAGGCAACCCTAGGGTGAGCATTTGTATACAGTTACCAAAGTTACCAAAGTAAGTCCATGTTGCCCCGAACTTTGTTGATGCAGCGTACCGTTCTGTAGCAGCTCCTCCAGGTTGTCGGGGTTACGGGCCAGGTGCAGGATAAGTGTAGCTCCTCTGATTTTTTCTGGGACATCCTCGTACAACAGCTCCACGTAATCATCAATGCTGTTAATGTTGGCCTCCTCATCCAGCTGCAACATCACAACATCAGTATGTCAGTATGTGAAACTCCATTCAGAGTGGTTTGATTTGAAATGCTCCATTTAGAGAAACTTAGAGTACAAACTGTTCACAGTGGTGCTGAACCAGATGCCTCTTAAAACTACTTTGCAGAATGATTATGAAATCTTTTTCTAGAAATGTTGTTTTATGATGGTTTTGAGAATGTTTGAGAAATAATATATTTTACAAGACCCATTCATGGTGTAGAAATACATGCAGATTACTGTAAGGCAAAACAGTCCCCAAAGAAAACTTTTTTCCCCCCAAGATATACCACTATTTCACAACTGTTAACATAAGTGGTGGTTTTGGATGGTAAATATAATGAGTATACTTGTGTTGTACACAATGTATTGTATCCTGTCATCAACACCATAGAGAGTCTGTAAGTTTCTCTACAGTGAACCACTTCACTTCAAAATGTTCACATCTCAATGAAGATTCCCCTTTAACTCATCACCATACTACAAAACCTATGCTTAGCTCAAATAAGGGCTTCTACTCACTGCCCACTTTGCAAGCTGCACCAACCTCATAGGTCCACTATACATGCATACATTGTGCTGTTGACTACACATTATTTGGGGGTGGCAGCAGTGACATTGACATAGCAGTGGTATGGTAGTGTGTATAGTGCTTGTATGTGTTTATTAAATACAGTAGGATTGCTGGAGTGTTTACACCTTAAAAACACCCAGTCAAGGGCAGCTCTGTGGTCAAAAATGAACCACTGATGAAGGTCTAGAGGATAGCTAATGCAAACTGTCCATCAACACAGTCAACTACAGTCTCTAAAGGTGCATTTATATCTGGAGGGTCCCTTGGCTCTGACCAAAGAAGAAAATGATGCATTGGTGCATTATAGTTCTCGTTCACTTTGGGTTCACACAGACATATTTGACACTGAAGCAAAAGATGTACACAAATGTCATATGGTTAAAAAGTCACAAGTAATTAGCCAGATTTTACGATGCATATTTGCTAACCATAACTGGGCTAATATCTACCCGATTCTCTGAGCCACAGTGTAACTCTGGCCTAAATGAGCGTATGGAATTTATGAATGTTTTGGTTTATCTGTGTTGTGACATATTAGACCAATACGTCACAAGAAGCTGTGCACTATGGTGGTTTCCCTAAGATTTAAAGAGGGATGAAGTCACAGCAACACTGTAGACTCAACTGGTTAAATGCTTTTATAAAACAGTGGAAATCTGGTCCATTAACAATACAATTAATGTGTGCAGTCAGACGTGTATACTCAGTATCTTTTAATGGCTTCATATGTGCCTCAGCCATGTTTTAAAACCCAAAATTATCCATTTCATAATTACCAATTCAGGGTTCATAGAGAGCTGATAAAACACAGGCACATGTCAAAACAGCATCAGATATTTTCCATGGGCAAAAAAAGCTATGCAGATAATGGTTCTGAATCTGTATTTGGTCGTCTTTCATCTGTGTAACTTTCATACAGCAACCAATCCACACCAAGCACACAGCAATCACACCAGAGTTCATTCATCAATCCAAGTGTTAACACAAATTAACTGTGCACTAGCAAAATTAATCTACAACACAGGGGTTTCTAATAATGTCAGCAGTTAGTTCAATGACTACTGAAATGAATGACTACTGGTGGTGAGTAGCAGATACATTTAGGCCCAATCCCATTTCTTTTTTTTACCCCTACCCCTTGTTTTCGAGTGTCACCCTAATCCCTTGGAACTGGGTTACAAGGGGTAGTGGCTGAAATCTTGCCCTACAAAATGGGACAACCTTCAACACACTGCTTCATTAACAGCTACTAGCGCTGCTCTGTAGGCGACCCAGCCCGTCTTCAGTGATAGCAGAGAAGGGAAAAGTTCAGCTCCTCACTGCTGGGCTTTAGTTACAATTAGGGCATCAGTAGCTTTCAAAGAGGGGGACAACTATTAATCATCACCCTCTGCTAATTCTTTGGTGATACGAAGCTGAAGTCAGCTATTCACCAGCTTCTTGTTCGAATTTTCCCATTCCACCTTAAACGGTGCAGCAGTTACATTCTGGCGCTTCAGGTGTCAGAACTGCTGGACTATTTAAGGTAGAACGGGAAAGCTAGCGAGACATTAGCATACTATTAGCGATTTTTAATGCTTGTTATGAAGAAAACGACCATAATACACTGAAACGACATTAAACTAAGATAATACAGTGGTTATCGTAATTTTTAACAAGAAAATTCTCACATTTGTGGGTTTCTTTGGTCGCTCGAGCCGCCATCTTGCTGTTTTATCTTTTTTCCTCTTAACTCTATTTGGACTGTGCCTCTAGAACACCTCCGTTTGGAGGGACATGAAGCCGTAACACTTCGCCCTCCCCCTCTATCTTAACAAAATCAGGACACCCTAACTCTAGACGTGAACGCGCAAAACAGAGGGCTAAGGGCGAAGTAGTAGGGGCGAGGGGTAAAATGGGATTGGGCCTTACACTGCACATAAAACAGAAATCTTCAAAGTCATACCTCCATCCCTTCGAAAGGAGTAGGATCCCTTGGCTTAATCTGTTTCTTCTCCTTTTTCTCTGAAGATTTGAAAACATGAATATAAACAGGCTATAACCAGAGGGTCATTTGTTCATGTTTTATTTATCACATGCAAAAGAAACAACTTTCTTTTCCTTTCCCTCCCCTCTGTTGTAAAACTGACAACAATGAGTGCTTTACATGCACTCAATAATCCGATAACTGCAGAAAATCAGATTTTTTCAGTAATCAGATCAACACAATTACATGCACTTGAGTAATCAGATAATGGGGAAACTCCAGGTCTACATGAGTCAGACAGTAATCAGATTTCTGCTTTGCAATCAGCCAATAAACTCACAGAAGAAGACGTGACGTAAATGTAACGCAAATCTCGAACTTCATTGCTGCGGCTTTTTTTAAAACATCGCACCACTTTACCTGAAAATATGAGGTAATCTAGAAGATGAAGGACATTTAAATCCTTTTTGTGTGTTTGGTTTCAGCGCCGCTCCAAAGGTGTTTTGCTGCGTCTCACAGCAACGCTGCTTACTTATTTCTGGTACCGTCATTTGTTCTCAAGCATGCGCACACTGAGAAATCCGATAGAAATCCGAGCATACATGCACTGAGAAATCTGATTACTGAGGTAAAATCCAGCTCTCTTTATCGGACTTCTTAATCGGATTTCTAGATCAGAGTATGGTGTTTACATGACAATTTGAATAATCCGATGACTGCAGAAATCCGATTATGATCGGATTATTGAGTGCACGTAAACGCGCTCAGTGACAGAAACAGACTCCTCCAGCCGACCCGTACCTGTGGGAGACTTGCGGTTCTGCAGATAGAAGAGCAGCTGCTCCACTTCTGGAAGTTTGGACGGGGAAATGAGCCTGCATTCCTCCACCACCTTCCGCGCTAAAGATCCAACGTCAGTGTTGGGACTAAGGCTTTTCAGACGAATGCTGAGAGAGGGGAGAGAGTACTCATGTAATACCTTTACTCTTCTGATATCGATATAGGATTCTTGACTACCAGCTGATACTGACGAATAATCCTGACAACTTTCAGATTTTTCTTCTTTAAAATCTACTATTGCTCAAACACTCAAATACATAATAACACGACATGATCACGTCAGTGTGTGCTATTCCAGGTTAGATATGTTAAAAGACTGGACAGGATACATTCTCTCTTCCTATCAATATCTGATCTAGCATTTTCTGCTGATACTGGCCGGTACTGATAGCTGTCGTCAGATCTCTGTCAGTGGCATCTCTAGACAACTCAAAGTTCATGCCAATAACACAGGCTTTAGGTTGACTCATCTGCCAGAGAATTAGAGAGAAAAATTCCTCTTATTTCTCAGACGGAAATATGCTTTTTAAACTTGTAGCACGGCCGTGTTCAGCTACAGCACCCTGACTGGGGTTACTAATCAGGAAACAACTAACTGCACTCTCACAACCCTGTATCCACCCAACCCGCTCAACAGTTCGCATAACCCGTAAACATTACAATGCATACTGAACATGCAACCGAAAACCTTTTCCTCTACTGTTTTTTTCTTAACCTCTTAGGCTTGTGGGTATATTTTGTTTTTTCCATTTGAATTCACATGACCAAATCGTAAGGCAAATTATTCAGTAACTGCATGAAATAAATGAAAATTTTTAATTTATTTATTTATTGTAAAAGTTCCCCTCAAATTAACAGAACGTGTGTTTTATGATCACACATATTGCTATATGCTTACAATTTACTGCCGAAAGCCAAAAATCTTAGACGCTCTTTGTATTATTTTATACAAATAATTTTTACAGAGCAGATCACTGAAGAGACGCCATCTGTTTATAGTTTATAGCCCAGATTTGTGGAAAAATGGGTCGACTTTCAGTAGACAAAAAAATTAGTTCAGCTTTTTTTATTATAAGGGTTTAAAAATACATTACCCATCTATTTGACTGGAAAGAAGACAGTTACAGCTCTCATACGACCCCCACCTTCTGAATGTAGCTTATGAAATATGAAAGTTATGAAGAATATGACGAAGTGCGTTTTGGAACCACCGGTGGTCCCAAGGAGTTTAAAAGATGAACTAAATACAGTAAGCATGCATAAAGCATCATAGGAACCACAGCAAGCTCTGGCACCACAATATCTGTCACCTAGAGGTCTTTTATAGTAGGTGATAACACTGCTTACATTTTCTGACAGGACTTGCGTTCTCCCAGCATTGCATCCCCCGTCTGTCCCAAAATCCTTGCTTCCACTTCATAGTGTACAACAAGAGCCTTCTCCGTAGGATGGACATCCAGACTGCCTCCCTTGACTTTCCTAATGGACACAAAGTCACATCAAGTACACACTCAGTTATATATTGAATACATAATTGGTTGATAGAAGTTCATTTTGTTTTGTTGTACAAAAACCTGAAGAAGAGTCTTGGTTGTTGGGAGGCAGTTCAGAGTGATGTGGTTTATGCTTTATTACAGCGACCCATAAAAAGATATCACATAAATGAGCATATCATATAAACGAGTGAGTCATCTCAGCTGACTAAGCTAGCTAAGCTAACCTAGTTAGCTAAATAACGGCACTCATTTGACATGAAACCTTCTTATGACAGCCACTAAATGCACTCCGTAGACCTAGCTAGTTCACCCAAACCACCATTTCAATTTGACATGTATTCCACTGCTTTTAATCCCCAATTTGCGAGTCGACCCGCAATAAGAGCAGCAAAAACCGGTCACCGTTATAACGAAATAGCAAAACAGCATCATAAACACTCACCGCGTTAAATATCTCACGTCGTCTGCCTGCATTGTTTTTATTAACAAACCTGTCAAGACTGTGCGACGACTGTTTTAACGTTATATCTCTTCTATAACCTTAGTAATTTTGTGAACTAATCATCTTATTTTGTTTGCTGCCCTCACAAATGTTGATGTTTGTGTTGCCAGGGCGTATAACCGATCTCCCATGATGCAGAGCAGGGCGACAGCCGGTTTCACCGCCATCTGTAGGTGAGGAGGATTCAGTTAAACTCACTCTGGATCCCAAATTAAGAAGCTCCTGCTGCCGGTTCTCTACAGTGGACAGTAGTATATGGAGTATATGGATTAATTAGACCCTGCTGAAAAGGGACCATTAAAAACATTATGATTAAAGATACATATGCGTACCTAGCCGCCGCGTTGGGTCCAGGCACGTCAACTGAGCCGCCATTTTGGGGCGGTCAGCATCGCTGCTGGACTGCATTCAGTACCATTACAGAGCGGCAGTTTAAGAAAAATACTGTCCAAAATTACACTATTTCAAGAAAATTGCTCTCAGAAAGTGGGATAGGATTATATAACGGAGGGAACGCAGTGATCCACGCTCATATTTATGTGATTTGTATTGTCTGTGTGATGTTTATGGACATGGCCGTGAGGTTGGTGAGGCACAGAGAACCTGTTGATATGATTGTTTTTCCTCTGGTCTTATATTAAGCTTATTTCATTTAATAGTCTATTCAGGGGATCTTACGGAGCCCCGCTGGTGACATCCTGTATACATATATAAAAATAATGCATGGCCACGTCTTAGTAAGGTGTGGAAATGAGATGATTAAGTTGTGGCCACGACTTAGTAAAGTGTGGGAACGAGATCCTAATGCGTGGCCACGACTTAGTAAGCCGTGATCTCATTCCCACGCCTTACTAAGTCATAGTCACGACTTAATCATCTCATTCCCACACCTTACTAAGTCGTGGCCATGCATTAGGATCTCATTCCCATGCATTAATAAGGCGTGGCCAGGCATTATTTTTATTTATACAGGATGTCACCAGCGGGGCTCCGTAGGATCTTAACTTTATGTAGCAGTTATTTTTTTACAATGATGGTTAATGCTTTGTAGCTAGGTAAGTTATAGCATTCCTTAATCCATAATTCATAATAGATTAACGTTGGCACCTTCTTACACGAACCTGAAGTTAGCTTTTTATTTGACAGCTTCTTGTTTGAATGTTCCCGTTCCACCTTAAATGATGCAGCTTCAGGCACCAGAAAGTGACAGCTGCACCATTTAAGGTGGAACAGGAAAACTCGAACGAGAAGCTGGCAGATAGGAAGCCAAGTATCCAAGTATCAGATAGAGAGCAACAGACTACGTGGCATCTATATATGTATCTATGATTAAAACTCAATGGTTTTGCTGTCTCATGAGAATTGGCTTGGTTTCCAGCAGAGACCACTACTTTCCTGTAGAACACCTTTAGATATCATTAGGAAACCATCAAATGCATTTAGAATCAGCCATTGATCACCTGTTAAACCATTAGGATCCTTTACCCTGTGATATCAACCCATTAAAAAGCCAGAACGCATTACAAAACCACCAGGAACCAACAGGCAAACTTAATGTTTTATATGTTTTTTTTCAACAGGCTTTCTTTCCTCTCTGCTGTCTTTAATTTTGTCTGATCTGGTAACCATGTGTTTTCAGCTCTACCAGTATTTTCAGTGAGTATATGAGCTATAGATCAGACAAAATAAGGGCCTGCTGAAAGTTTCACTTGAGAATAGTCCATCAAAACCACTCACCTACACCTCAAATGATATAAATCTCCAATGAGTGAAATAAATATGACTGACACTATCTAGACATCCTTTCTAATTAATGAATTTAGCTACTTTAGGGTGCAGTCGTTGCCGACACAGGTGTTTGTGCACACACAGCCTGTATAATGTCCATAGAACAGCATTGCTAATGGAATGGGATTCTCTGCAGCACCTGCACATGAGCCTAAGTTTACCATACTGCACCATGCCCAATGTCACCATTACCTTGAGGCTTATAAAGCCCTCCAGCACTGGGCTGTGGAGCAGAGGAACTGTGTTCTCTGGAGTGACGAGCACTATTGAATATTTTGGGGATGAGTTGGAGCAGTGTCTATGATCCAGAACTAATCATCCACCATCAGTATCTGACCTCACTAATGTGCTTGTGGCTGAATACAATTAAATCATCACAGCAATGTTCCATCTAGTGTAAAGCCTTCCCAGAAGAGTAGAGGCTGTCACTGCAGCAAGGGGGACATCATTTCATCCAGTGATGAAATAAGCATGGACATCCCTGAAAAAGACGTCATCTAGAAGGCAACGTATGTTGCTACAAAATGTATATTTATCTTTGGTGCCTTCACAGATGTGCAAGTGGTGCCGTGCTCACTAGTACAGCGCCGTAACATGATCCTGAACTTTATGCTAGTAACAATCTGAATGGTCTTTTTTTCTTGGCCCTTCTTGGGTATTATTTCCATAAACAATCTAAAAGTTTGACTTATCAGACCACAATACCAACTACCGGTGCTTTAATCTATTTAAGATGAACTCAAGTCCAGAGAAGCCAGCGACATTTGTACATAGTACAGTCTTGACTTGTATTTGTGGATGCAGAGGCAAACAGTGTTCATTGACAACAGTTTATCAAACTGTTTTGAGTCCACACTGTCATCTGAATCACAGAAGCATGCTGGTTTTCAATGCAGTGCCGTCTAAAGAGATCGAAGGTCATGGACTTTCCACTGTGGTTTTCAGCTTTGCCCATACACACAGATTTCTCTGGATTCCTTGAATCTTTGGATATTATGCATCACAGACAGTGACCTAGTGTTTTTGGAAGATTTTGCAGATATCAGTTTAAAAAAAACATTGAAGTTGATAAGGTAAAACATTAAATGTCTTGTCTTTGTACTGTTTTCATTTAAATACAGGTCTAAGTGAATTTAAATCATTACTTTCTGTTTTTATTTGTATTTTACATACCGTGGCAATTTGTTTTGGAATCGTGGTTTGTAACTTAACTGGTAAATTTGATCATGGACTCTGTGATCCATAAATAGACCCAGGGTTGATCATTTGTCATACTCATGTTAAATGGGGTGTTTAACTTCCTGGCTAATGCGAGTTTTCTCTGGTTGCACTCAGCGGCCTGATTTTGGCTTGTAGAATGTCAGATGTATACCAACCATCACTGGCAGACTGCTGTGTTTTGGTGGAAATCTCAAAAACCCAACAGTCATATGAGTGACAGTAACTGAGACAACAGAAACTGAGAGCTTTGGAAATCTTGTCATTCAACAACAAAGTGCCACTGGGGAGCAGAATTAGGTCATGGCTTTTCCTTGGGCTTGTACTATTTGTAATGGAGGTCCCAGAGTCTCAGTGAAAGAATGCTGATCTAGGATCAGTCATTTCTACTACAACCCCACTTCCAAACAAGTTGGGACAATGTGCAAAATGTAAATAAAAACAGAATGCAATGATGTGCAAATCATTTAAACCCTATATTCAACTGAAAGTAGTACAAAGACAACATATCAAACATTGAAACTGAGAAATGTTGTCTTAATAAATATGCCCATTTTGAATTTGATAGCAGAAACACAGAAAAGTTGGGGCAGGAGCAACAAAACACTGGTAAATTGGAGCAATGCACACCTGGTGGAACATTTCACAACTAATAAGGTTAATTGACAACCAGTCAGTAAAACGATTAAGCATGAAAAGAGCATTTCAGAGAGGCTGAGTGATTCAGAAGTAAGGATGAGGAGAGGTCAATAGTGCAACACTTCAAGAATTTCTCAACATAAAATGGCAAAACACTTGGGGATTTCAGCAATTATGGTACATCCTGTCATTAAAAGATTCAGAGAATCCAGAAAACATCTCCAATGTTAGCTGGCTATGATCTTTTGGCCCTCAGGTGGCACTGCATTAAAAACAGACATGAATCTGTAGTGGAAATCACTGCATGGACTTAGAAACACTTCTAAAAACTCCTGTCTGTGAAAACAGTTCATAACTGCATCCACAAATGTTAAAACTCTACCATGCAAAGAAGAATTTGTATATTAACAGGACCCAGAAACACCACCACCTTCTCTGGGCACAAAGTCATTTAAGATGGATTGAGGTGAAGTGGAAAAGTGTCCTTTGGTCTAATGAATCGAAATGTAAAATTCTTTTTGGAAATCATGGAAACTGCATCTTCTGGGCTAAAGAGGAGTGAGACCATCCGGCTTTTTATCAGTGCACAGTTCAAAAGTCAGCATCTGTGATGGTATGGAGGAGCATAAGTGCACATGGCATGGGTGGCTTGCACATCTGTGAAGGCGCCATTGATGCTGAATGATATATATACAGGTTTTGGAGCAACATATGCTGCCATCCAGATGACATCTTTTTCAGGGAAGGTCTTGCATATTTCAGCAAGACAATGCTAAACCACATTCTGCTTGTACAACAGCATGTTTCTGTAGTAAAAGAGTCTAGGTGCTAAACTGGCCTGTCTGCAGTCCAGACCTGTCACCCACTGAAAACATTTGGCTCATTATGAAACAAAAAAATACAACAAAGGAAACCCTGAACTTTAAAGCAGCTGAAATCCTGTATCAAGCAAGAATGGGAAAACATTTCACTTTCAAAACTACAGAAATTGGTCTCCTCAGTTACCAAATGCTTAAATGTGTTGTTAAAGGAAGAGGTGATGCAACACAGTGGTAAACATGACCCTGTCCCAACTTTTTTTCTGTGTTGCTGGCATCAAATTCAAAATGAGCATATATTAAAAAATTGAAATTGAAAAATGATATGTTGTCTTTGTACTGTTTCAATTAAATAAAGGGTTTGCATTGCATTCTGTTTTTTTTACATTTTGCACAGCGACCCAACTTTTTTGGAAACAGGGTTGAATAAGAAGATTATAACCTTTGCACAGATCATTCATTAGATTTAAGGTGGCATAATGATGAAGCCCTTGACTGATAGCTGGCTCATGTACTTGCACTGCCAAATGTCTGGGGACACCTGAAAATTTTGAAATAAAAAAAAAAACTGTAAGTGCTGACGTCACAACAAGGGTATGCAATGTGTCGGGTTTGTCAGTATTCCCAAAGAAGCACTATTGTCAGTTGTTTATTAAGTTTTGCAGTTTTTGTAAAGGAAAATGTTAAGATCTAAACAGTTTCTCAAAAGCACCTTAGCTTTAAAATGATCTTATCTAGGAGAGATAGAGTGCTTTTTGAATGAGGCACAATACAGGACAGCCAATCAGAGCATAGCTTATTTATCTTATGTCAATACTGAAGGCACAGTAAAAAAGGATGTTTCAAAAAGGCTAAAGAGGGGTTGGAAAATGGTCATATAAAAAATAATTGTGATCATTTTGGTTCATAAAACCACACAAATGTTATAAGTGGACAAGAACAAAGTAGTATATGGGCTTTTTGATAAACTCGGTTTCTAAATGTTTCTTGGCTTAAAGGAACAGCTGTAGGAAAACCTTAAATTACTATAGAACCTTTACATTAGGTGGAGGTTCTTTAAATCTCATTAAGATTCTTTACACTCATAGATTAAGAGACCCTTATTGGTCCCACAACAGGGAAATTTCACCGCCACAATCTAACTCATCCATGCAGTGAAACACCACATACACACTAGTGAAGACACACACTAGGGGTCAGTGAGCACACTTGCCCGGAGTGGTGGGCAGCCCTGTCGGCAGTGCTCGAGGAGCAGTTGAGGGTTAGGCGTCTTGCTCAGGGGCACCTCAGTCACGTACTGTGAGCTCGGGATCAAACCGGCGACTTTCCGCTTGCAAGGCTGGTTCCCTAACCTCCAGCCCACGACTGCCCATCTCATTTTTAAAAATCTTTAAAGAACTGTCAACTGGAAGGTTATTTAGGGAGCCAAACGTGGTTCTTCTATGTAGGTGTGATTTAATGCAAGAGCTTACCTGGGCTGAAGCCCAGGGGCACTGATTGTTCAAGCAGTCTATAGCTTTTAGTGCTTTGGTTCTGGGTTTGTTCAGTAGTGTAGAGATGATGAATGGCAGTGCTAGAAGTCGCTGAGGGGCGGCAGTGTTCTCTGCACCTTAATTTAAAACATAGGTTTTAAGGTTCTTGGATGCTGTGTGTAACTAGACTCATAGGGCCTTTGATTGCCTGTAGCCTCAGGGCCCACAAGCAGGCCAAAGCACCCCAGCATCTGTGGGATCACTCTATATTACCTTTTGGCATTTTTGGTAAAAGCCATTCTTGTTTATTACAAACATTTTCAACTGCTAGGTGTCCCCAAACCTTTGACAGGCAGCGGCATATTTTTACACGTGCTAAGCAGTTTAATGAACCAGAACTTTCAAGTGCCAATCCGCGCACAAAGCCAGCATTCGCCTCGTCTTAGTGTGTCTATATTCTCCTCACAGCACCATTGCATAATTGACACTATGTACATGAACACAACTAGGCTATTCCAAGAATAGCCACTGTATGAGTTGCTTGTCAGGTCTGAGGTGAAGGAGTAGCCCCTTGACGAGCATGCTGGCATGCATGGTCAAGGTCAAGATGCAATTCTGGAAGTGTGCAGTGCTTCAGAGAAAGAGCTTCTGGAACAGATGGCACCATCTTCCTTCTGGTGTTATCGTGCTACTGCAACTGGTTAAACTCATTCAGTTACGTACTTACTGTAAGTACAATATTGATTGATTTACATTCTTTTGAGTGTGTACAAATGCTGTACCTTTCTGCCATTAAACTGTCACAATATCAGGTTCAGCTCAGTTTTTAAAACTTCTTGTTTTGCTCCAGCCAGTAAGGCATTTCACAGCTGCTTGCCTGTGAGGTTCTGGATAATTCTAGTTTGTTTAGTTGTTCCATCACAGCTGCTGACCAGAAAACCTGTTTAAAACAGGTTCAGAATTTGATATTGCTGCAGACCATATATTATGGAACTTAAGTAAACAGGAATTTAAGTAAACAGGAATTTAAGTAAACTTCAACTAGTTCAAAATGCTGCAGCCAGGGTTCTCACTAAAACTAGAAAATTTGATCATATCAGTCCAGTTCTATCATCACTTCATTGGCTGCCTGTTAAATTCCGTATTGATTACAAACTTCTTTTATTGACGTATAAAGCCCTACATGGGCTCGCTCCTGAGTACCTACAAGACCTCATTTCCCATTACGAGCCACCACGATTACTCACATCACAGAGTGCTGGCTTTTTAATAGTTCCCAGAATTCAGAAGGCTTCATCTGGGGGAAGAGCCTTTTCTTATAAAGCCCCCAAACTCTGGAATGATCTTCCAGAAAATGTTCGGGACTCAGACTCAGTCGCAATATTCAAATCTGGGCTGAAAACTCACTTGTTTAGTTTAGCTTTTGGTAGTTAATGTTTCCCCTTGGATAAAGGCAGCAGATCCAGGGGTCCATGGACGCAGGGAATTATAGTAAACTGAGACGCTGGTGCTGTCGTCCCGCCGCTCGCACACGATCACTCAGGTTTGTGGACGGTGGAGCGGAGGGATGCCAAATTTCAGGGTGCTCCTGTATCTGTGTGCCCTTTTGGTTCTCTCCTTTTAGTTAAGCTGTTATAGTCAGATCTGCCGGAGTCGTTAGCCACACTCTGGAAATGTTTTACATATTATTATACAAACACCCATACAGAACAAAACCAGCTCCATCTCCCTACCTTTCTTCCGAGAAAACGACTGCCCACCTGTCCGGCCGGACACTGCTGGATGATTGTCTGTAGAGCTCTCCGGCTACCCGCTTCAGACCAGTTGCCCACACCCCAGTCACCACCACCTGCCTTGGACTGGCTGCCCACTCTACACCGAAGTGGACTCCTAACTATTACTACTACTACTACTATTAATATTAGTAGTATAATAATTTTGTAGGTAGTTTGACCAGAGGAGGATGGGTCCCCCCTTGTGAGCCTTGGTTCCTCCCAAGGTTTCTTCCTCAGCTCTGAGGGAGTTTTTCCTTGCCACTGTCGCCCCTGGCTTGCTCACCTGGAGGATGTACATTTCATGTTGAAACTTTGTCCTAAATGGATTTCTGTGAAGCTGCTTTGTGACAACATCAGTTGTAAAAAGCGCTATACAAATAAATTTGACTTGACTTGACTATTATCTTAAGGAAGTTATGTAATACATCTATTTTCTGTATTTATACATGCTACAATAAAATCTAGTAACAGCTGCAATGCAGCTCAGTAAAACAGTATAAATCATACAGTTATAGTGAACAAAACCCGCTGTTACCACAAATAACAGCACAGATCGAATGCTGGTTTGGTTGTATTATGCATATTTGTGATTAAATTAACATACTCTTTGCTCAGTTCCACTAGCCATTCATATTGAGGTACTACGTCTCTTTTTGGGTCTTTCTTTTTGCTTTTGGTGAAGCATTTGGACTGCTTTTGCTGTTGCTCACATTAGTCAATTTCTAGCTTCTATATAGACGAAAAGAATCCCAAAAAGAGAAGCAAAGTATCCAACATACTTCAGTTTCTGTGCTGATAGATGCCGGATATGAACTGTAGCTCTACAGGAAACTCAGTACTTGAGATTTCTTTTACTTACCTTATTTTTTATTCCTAAATTACTTTTTTAATGCTTTGCTACTTCGTCTTAAGTCGTTATTACATTGAAGTTAAGCCATTTCTAATGGGATGCTTGAACATCCCCAATCAAATAACATGCTTTGTTGATTTTCTAAGTTAACATATCCTCTACAGAGAACACATGTACATACGGTAGTTTTCTGCAAATTTGGTGAACAATTTCTGTTTATTTGGGAAAAACGTCCCATAGCTTTTGTTTAGTCCACATTTTATGTTTATTTTTCCAATATGTTCATTCAATTAAGCAAATAAACAATAATTGTGCATCAATTATTTTCACTTAGAAAATCAACAAACCATAATATGACCCAAAGTTTTGCATAAGGCTGTAGCTGTAGCATGGTTTTATGCTACTCTTCCCACCTCTGGCCCAGGCCTGCAGCAGGTGATCTGTTAATCCTACAGACATTTTCAGCCCCCTCCTGAGAGAAGGGCTCTCAGCTGATCAGTTACGAGCCGGGGCTGTCAGAGGCGTCTCACTCAGATATAACTGTGGTGCGGTGCCCTCGGTGCTTAGAACTTGCACGTGGTGTGCAGGCACACACACCAGCTCCACGCCTGTTTGCTGACAGATTCTGACACTAGCAGTTCAGAATGTCTGAGTCCACATCCATCATGGAGTTCAGTGGCACGCATCAGGCGTTCTGCGACCGCTGGGCCAAAACAGATGACAACATGTGCAGACATAGCATGTCCTTAAACCTGCACAACACGCTGAGACAGGAGTTCTTCGCCAGCTACCTTTACCTGCTGGAGCAGACCCCTCTGGGTAAAGACAGAGTGCTGTATGTGTGTGTGTGTGTATGTTTGTGTGTGTGTGTGTGTGTGTGTGTGTGTGTGTGTGTCTGGGAAGTCTCAGGTGCATGCTAAAATCAATAACAACAGTAGTTCTAAGTCCCAGTCATGAAAACTGTATGCACAGCACTATAGTGCTATTATAATATATCTATTACAGTTTTTTGCACCATGTGAGCTTTTACAAGATAGCTATTACAGTTCCTTGCAATATACAAGCTGATATAATACAGGTATTATGGCTTCTTGTGCTATATGAGCTGGTATAATATGGCTATTATGGTTTATTGCATATGAACTAGTACAACATAGCTGTTATTGTTTATTATTGTTGTATGAGCTTTATTAATATAGTTATTTAATAATAACTAATAATAATGTTTATTATATATAGCTTTAATAATATAGTTATAGAATGTTGATATTACGTGTTTAAAACTTTGGCTTGACAACATGATTAAAGAATTGTTTTCCAAATACAAAAAGAAAAACACAAACAACAAAAGCAAAAGCTCTTTATTCTATGAAAAACAGTATGAAAGCTTATACATGCATGCATTTCTATTGCATTTGAGGTGTGATTGACGGATGGTGAATTGATGTATTCAAAAGTTTGGTTAAAGTTTTGATTGTTGATTTTTGAAGTGAAAAAGATATAAAAGCAACCTCAGCAGCAAAATATTGCAAATGTTACTGCACTTCTTAATACTTGATCAACTGAAAAAAGAGTGAAAAAAATAAAATAGCAATGGTTGTGGCGTGTGCAAAAGTATGGGCACCTTTACACTTGAAAACCTCATGAGGCCTAAATTGATGCTTTAGACTGTTTAGGCGGGTCAAGACTTGTCAGCTGATGAAAATTCATTGTCTTCAATGAATGATTGATGAAAAGAACAGTGTGCCAACTGTGAGCATAAAGGGGGGATCTATTACACTCTTTAAAAAGAGGGGTTTTCAAAGGTTCTGTAGCAAAGAAAATTGTTCTATATAGAACCATTAAAACTCAAAAGAACACTTTGCATGATTAAAAAGTTCTTTGCATTGGGAAAGGATTCTTCAGATTGATGGAGAATATGTTGTAGATGGTTCTATGTAGAACCCTTTTTGAAAAGATTTCTATGAAGCACCAAAAGGGGTTTCACTATTGTTACAAACCAAACAACCTTTTTTGCTAAGAGTGTACGGTTTGGGGTTGTGTTGCAGCCAGCATCACAGAGCACATGTAGATGGAAGAACAGATTCCACTAAATATCAGCCAATTCTGGAAGTAAATGTGACACAGTCAGTCGAATAACTGAAGCTGAAAGGACGCTGGGTTCCAGGTCCCCTGACTCGAACATCACTATAAATCTTTGTGTGGATCTTAAACATGCTGTGCATGCAAGATGGCCCAAGAATATCACAGAACTAGAAGTACTCTATGAGGAAGGGTGGGTAAAAAACTACTCTATGAGGAAGGGTGGGTAAAAAACCCTTTCACCAAGCTCCTCAATGTTCAGGACCCCCACATGACCACCAGAGAGTATTATGTAGGTGGTGGAACATTTTCAGCACTGTAGTAACACTGATGTGGTGGTGGTGGTGTGTTAGTGTGGTGTGCTGGTCTGAGTGGATCAGACACAGCAGTGCTGCTGGAGTTTTTAAACACCTCAGTGTCACTGCTGGACTGAGAATAGTCCACCAACCAGAAATATCCAGCCAACAGCGTCCTGTGGGCAGCGTCCTGTGACCACTGATGAAAGACTAGAGGATGACCAACACAAACTGTGCACCAACAGTTGAGTTATCAACTACAAGTTGGACCAATGAGGTTGGTGTGCATATTAGAGTGGGCAGTGAGCATGCCTGATCCAATCATACCAGCGCAACACTCACTAACACGCCACGTATATTCTGGTAGATTACTTAGACAAACACATGAATACATCGAGAAGGCAGATAACCAAAAAAAGATTTAATATTTTTAGTTAAAATAATTTAAATAATTAATAATTGATCAAATGTTTATCAAAATAAGTCACAATATGAATTGCTAGTTTGCTTGAGCCTTTCTTCATTTGAAATCTGCGTGATATTATAAAACAGTTTGTTCTGGGAAACGCAAGCTGAATGGTTGAGAAGCGTTCTAACCGTGCTGTTATTTCGCCATAACAGCACAGTTTTTTCACAAACACTGTATCGCTCTGCTAAAACACTGTTGCTAGGCAATGACTTTGACAGCTGTAGGAGACGCTCAAGCCATTTGAACGTTTTTACTTCTTACTTTGCCACAAACAGAAAATGGACACTGTTAAGATTAGATTTGACCGACAGCCGATTTGGTCAGACTCTGAAGATGAGATGACACTAAATTCCCAAACTGTCATCACCACTGAGCAGCTTTTCAGTCGGCAGCTGTGACAGAAGAACAGCTAAATAACCTGGAATCAGCCAGAAATGAACCCAACACCATTCGCCAAACTAAACAGGCTGTAAGATGCTTTACAGACTGGCTGGAACAAAACAACATTAATATTGATCCAGCAAAAATGGACAAAACTGAGCTGAACTTGATATTGTGGCAGTTTTATGGCTCAGTCTGTACTTCAAAAGGTGAGGCTTAGAGCAGACTGAGCAGCGAGTGAACGTTCATTACTCTGACGTAGCAACAAACTGCTTGTTAAGGAACTATAATTTGGCGTAAGGAATTGTGAACATCAAAACATATTAAACGCCACGTTCACAGCCCAGTTTATTAATTTCTTACTTTATTTATTTAACTGTTGTATAAAAGCAATAGAACACTCAAGGTTGTGTGTTATCGCGGATAACATCATGGCTGTGATAATCCACTGTGACCGAATCACAGCCATGATGTTATTTCGTGATAACACACAACCTTGAGTGTTCTATTGTTTAATTATAATATATGACAGGACAGTCTTGACATATACACTCTCAAAAAAGATGGTTCTTCAAAGGTTCTTTAATCAAGAAAACAGTTCTATATAAAACCATGAATACACAAAGAACCCTATGCATGATTTAATGGTTCTTTGCGTCGTGAAATGGTTCTTCAGATTGATGGAGAATATGCTGTAGGTGGTTCTATATAGAGCTTTTTTGAAAATGGTCCTATATAAGACCAAAAAGGGTTCCACTATTGTTACCAGCCAAATGTATTGCCTTTTTTTGGCACTATATAGAACCCTGTTTGCTAAGAGTGTAGGTTAATGCGAGAAAATCAAATAACTGGGTCATGTGCCGAGGATAGGCAAATCTATAAATGGACCAAAATAAAATGATAGAGGTGATCGCTCAAGCTCCTCTCTCAGTAGGCCTCTCAGCCAGTGTTACTATTTCTGTCCTCCACATCAGCTTCCTCACATTTCAGTATCACACTTCATTCATACTGCCAGTCTTGTCACCTGGTACTTCTCATCTCCTCACCAATTTATCCACTCTTGCAACGTCTGGCTAGAATCTTTTGGCTCGATTGTCTGCTGACTTAACCCTTTCCACCCCTGCTTTCATCCACTGGACTCCTGGGCAACAGGCCATTTTGGAGACGACTGCAGAGAGCTTTGAAGAGCTTCCAGCTGGAGCTGATATTGCTGTCTTTGTGTCATGCTAAGAGAGTCTTGAAGCTTGCATCACCACTCGGTGTTTGCTGGCAAAGCTCCTTCTCTTACAGTCACACCCAAACAGGCCGGTCATCTGTTTCAGTCCATTTGTCAACTGTGAACAAGTCGCCTAAGCTGTAGAACAGCCCTGCAAGTGCTTCTAGATTTGGACATGTTGTTCAAGTTCTCACTATTTTCAAATAAATATTTTTTCATCTTACGTTTACAGCCTACTGGCTGCTACTACAGTTAAATGGTTTTAGTGATGCAACCTACTTTTACTTGTCTTCATTTTATAACAGTGTTAACTATGTTTGCATGCACACCAGTGATTTAGTCTTTGTCTACATTAAATTGTTAATATGAATGGTTTAGTTCCAGAACACATTATAGACCACTTTGAAGAATTTTCTTTCTCTTTAATATATACGTTTCTGGGAGTGGCCTTTACACATACAAGAGATATTAATGCTATATTATAATTAAAGCCACCTTTGTGAGAGACACTAAAATGACACTGAAGTATCTCTAACATGTATAATATACTGAAGACTTGAAATTGCATTTTCCAGTAAAACTCAGCTGGTAAACCTTTCCAAAAAATATTATATCCAAAATTGTTACTAATGAATGTACAGCATTTTGGACTGATTCGTTTCATGTGATAATGTGCACGGTTTGATTATAATGGCCTAACTAAGGTCTTAGTCTATCTAAGCTTAAAGCATGCGGTCCAGGTCACACTTAAATTGCTCCACTGACACCAACATTGACTTTTTGAGAAATGTTTAGGCACTTCCTGACATACCACATGATAATAGATAATAGTAAAATCTGAAAACAAAATATTCAATCTTTTATATTATAGTTATCATTAAACTAACCCTCATGCACCATGCAAAGTATTTGTAATTATTTCATGTACTAGCTTTCTGTGACGTAGCCTTTAGAGGCATTAACCACTTTGGACATCTGGTTCTTATCACCACCGCTGTGAATACCTCTGATTGTTTCATTTCACTTCAAGCCCTGAATGACTCTGTTTACATCTTGACAATTGAATTAAGCAGATTTGTTTGAAAAATCAGTGGATTTTCCCTTGACCAAATTGATTTGCTTTGAAGAAAACATGTATTGATCAAGGCACTTAGTGTGTAGGATGCTCACTGGTGGGTTAAAAGCCTCCTTTACTTGTTAAGTGCATCAGCCTCATAATTCCAGTGCAAAACTAAAGAAACCAAAGAAGAAAACTTCAGTCAAGTTTGGTATTTTTGGGATAAATAATGCTTTAATGCTAGCTTGTGAACAAATACTTGCTATTTCTACATTATTATGGCGATCATTTTTGATCACTTAAATATTTTAACCCCTTAAATGACCAAGGCCTGCCAGTGGGCCCAAAGTTTTATTACACATTTACATAACCTAAGAATAGCTCAACCAGTTTGTACTGAAGTCCCTGTTGTTTCTAAATAATAAGACTGGGATTTGAAGTGTTTAATGCAATGTGCACTGAGGATAGTCAGACACCGATCAAGCATAACATTATGACCACCTCCTTGTTTCTACACTCATTGTCCACTTTATCAGCTCCACTTACTATATGGGTGCACTTTGTAGTTCTACAATTACAGACTGTAGTCCATCTGTTTCTCTGCATACTTTGTTAGCCCCCTTTTACCCTGTTCTTCTGTGTTTAGGACCCCCATGGACCCTCACAGAGCAGGTACTATTTGGGTGTTGGATCATTCTCAGCACTGCAGTAACACTGATATGGTGGTGGTGTGTTAGTGTGTGTTGCGCTGGTACAAGTGGATCAGACACAGCCGTGCTGCTGTGACGTTACTGTGGCCTGACTTTGTCTATGCATTTGTCCTTCTGCAGTAAAACTGTATCCAGTGACCTGCGAGTACATCAATGGGGAGAAGCAGTTCTACTACCGAGCCCAGAACTTCTACAAAGGCGTACCAGTGTCAGAGGAGGGCATGATGGGAGATTTCGTGGAGATCTCGGAGGTGGACCTGGAGGGCTCCAGACAGTTTCTGAAGAAGTTTGTGGTATGATGCTCACTTACTACAATATGCTCATTTCCCAGTGGTAATCTTGATGATGTAACTGACATTTCATCGGTGTCCTTCAAGGATGACCAAGATGAATTTCTAGCTGCTCCACCTAAGGGTCTTATAGTTAATCAGTGGAATGTGCTAGCCATGTTTGGGTTCCACTTGCATCTAATTATGATCCACTCAGGAATATATGCTGTGTATTTCAGCAGGGACTTGCAGCTCATGATCACCATCTATAGTCAGAGGCCACCTTTCTTCTATTTAATTTCCATGCAAAACGGTACAAAGTTCATTTTCCAAGAGATTGTTTTGAAGGGATTAGTAATAAGATACGCGTTCACTTGCATATAAAAGGAGAAAGTCAAGTGAAAAAAACTGTGTTCAAAAAATATTAAAAAATGGGACCCCTGACAGTCGTGGAAGACCTGATAGACCATCAAAACAGTCCCTGTCAGCTAAAAAGTACTTAAAGCTTTCATCTTTGAGAGAGAGGAGAAAATCAAGCTGCTTCAGATCTGAAAACATCCACAGGTGTTTCTGTCCATCCTTCCACTGTGAGAAGACGACTCAGCGCTATGGGTCTGAAAGGATGGGTAGCTGTCAGAAATCTGTTATTGAGAATCAGAAATAGACAAAAAAGAAGAGAATTTGCAAATCAATCAAAGAAGCTGCTGGTGTTCGCAGAGCAGTGGGCTGTCCACCCCAGGGACGATTCTAAGATCAGAGCTTTAGGGGTGCTGAGCACTCAATGAGACCCCCCCCCACCCCCCACCCGTTTTTTTTTTCCTCATCATAACTTCTATCATTCTACAACAACCTGCAACATTAGCTTGCTAGATAAAAAAAAACAGCATATAGTTAACAATAACAACATAAAGAGTGGTCTGTGATTGAGTGCAGCAAAAATGAGCACTGCTGCTAATGACTGTAACGTGTTGGTGCTGAGTGATAAGAAATCCTCGTCTGCACTACTTACTGGAGTCACCACACCACACAGTCACACTGTAACTGGCTCTAGTGTGTGCGTGTGTGTGTCCAGCGCAGCTACTGCACGGCTTTGGGGGGAGAGCGGGGTGGGGGAAGGATAGGAGAGAGAAAGTGGATCATAACATTTGCTTATCAGAGACAAACTTCCGTTTTTTTGGGGGGGTTCTGGGACTCAATTTAGGGGTGCTTGAGCACTAAAAAGGGGCTAGATACACCTATAGTTCACCCCAGAGTCCAGACCTCAACGTCACAGAATGTGTTTGGGATTACTTGGATTGTGTGAAGCAGAAAATGCAACCAACTGCTAAGACCGAACTTCGGAGGTGTGGAAAACTATCCCTGTAGATTCCTTAGAAAAAATGAAAGAACAGAAAGTGTAACAAAGGCAAAGAGTGGACACACTACTAAAAAGGTTTAGCTGTTGAGGCTTCTGTGTCATTACCTTTTAAATGTTATTTGTTTTCTGCCTTTTTAATTGATGCTGAAAAACGAATAACTTCTTTGTTTTTGGACATTAAATAAATAAATGGTGGTCTCTGGCTTTTGCACGGTACTGCAGGCCCAAATCAGGGTGATTCTAGTGCTGATTTTCTTGTACGTCAGTGAATAATATTAGCTTATCCCACAAACCTCTCTCCAGATGCCTATCATGAAAAACAGACTCCTGGATCAATAACGACAGTGCTGGAATCTGTTGGTCTGTATGATATGATATTGACATTCGATGCTGTAAATCCTGTACATAAATACTCTCAGGCCAAGTGCAGCATCAGAGGATCTTAGTTACAAGTAACTACTGTACCATAAATCAGTTTAAATAACTTTACTATTTCCATATTCATCACCTGAATAGCCTTATATGCTAGATTTATTTTGACTTGTAGTTATGCAAAACATCTGCCAGTGAAATGGGAAGTAGGGCGCTGTATTATTGGTGTTGGTCTTCTTGGTGTCCAGTTGTCTCTATAAATGTCTGCACATCACAGATGGTTCTGACTCACTAATCCTTCTGTTCCAATTGTGCATTCTCCATTTGATGTGCTCAAGCCCCTGCAAATACTCCCAGGCAGACCTTAGCGATAGAGAGGCTCGCTGTACGTTGTCTGTCAGCATGTATGTACAAATGGATGGCTGCTATAATGTGTCATAGAAATGATGCTATATATATATCGAGTGTCTTTGACAGAGCCCTATCTTTAAGCCTTACAGCGAGCTGTCAGGATTTAAGAGCTGCTTGCAGAGGCAGTGCAGTATAACAGAGATGAACTCCACAGATTGGGTTGATATTGTATGACAGTGGGTTAATGCTTCACCTGTGTTGTTCAATTACAAATGCTGTTTAAAGGAAATGAATGAATCCAGAACCTGTCATCCTTCCTTGGGTTATTTCTGATCTAATTGACACCTATGGACGAATAAACAACATGACAGAGGGGATTACGTAAGGGAGTGCCGAGTATTATCATTGGGATCATCTTTTCTATATGCTCCCCTCTTCTAATGTGAATAGTGTGTATGTTATGCAATATTATGGGGATATGATCTTATAGCTTAATGATGTAACTGACATTTCAACAGGCGCCTTCAAAGAAGACCAAGAAGAATTTGTGGTTACTCCACCTGTGTCTGTGGTTAATGAGTGGGTTTTGTCAGCAATGCTTATCTTCCACTTCCCTGCTGAGAGATATGCTCAGCTTACGAGGCTGCATATCGTCGCTGTCCAAAGAAAATTTATCTCCATTTTTGTCGATTTTTAGTTTTCTACATCCTTTCGACACACCAGCTGTCCTTTACGTTGTGCAAACATTTCATGGTGAATGGACCAATAGAATTGCTCGAAAATCACTTGGAATAAAATCTCTTTGCACTGACTTACATTGAAAGGTAAGAGTGTTTTTGCCTTCTCCTGTGAAGTTACTATTTTGAAGATACTTCTTTGGACAGCGACGATATATAGAATGAGATATATATGGAACAATCTTCCAAACTGGTTCAAAGTCAGAGTTGAAAATACATTTCAGACTTGGACTTTGGCTTTGAATGACCCCATACCTTAATTATGTTTATTTTACCTAAAAAGAAATGATTGAATGGTCCATTCTGTCACTACCAAAACAATCATAACTCTACCCAAACTTTACTAAATGTTTCAGTAGTGACAATTCTAGCTAATTCTGATCATAACTGAAAAACGATAACCAGACGACCAAACACAGCTTTGAACAGTTGTACACGCATAAAATCATACGTTTTTATTAAAATACAGAACAGTTCACTTCATTGCAGAAAATGTTTCATAGTTTGAACCATTTCAGTTGGTCCATATAGATTTCCATTGCTTTTACAGTGCAAATTAGGTGTTAGAGCTGAATTTTATGTAAACAGTGTGAGATCTATGCAATAGGCCTACCACAAAAGAAACTGAAGATTGGCATCGACTCCTGAATAAAGAATGTTGGTGCTGAAATCTGTAGGTCTGTATGATAAAGCGCTGACAATGAATGCAATAAACCCTGCAGCAGCAGATGATGATCTTTCTGCTCTTTTTGCACATCAGTTATTTCATTTGTTCTACGAATACAGATATTTAGTGTTTCCCCTTCCATATAGGCTAAGCTGCCTGTCCACAGTCACAAGCCACCCAGCTTGGATGTGATATAGATCTTAGAATGTAACAAGCAGATTATATGTTAGTTTTTAGTGTTAGATTTATTTGGGATTAGCTCTTTTTGGTGAAAATAAAATTCTCAATCTGTTTTGGAATGTAATGATACATTCCAGATAACAAGTCATGTGTGGACTTGAGTGACATAGCAGTGTGTGGCTAGATGGCATATGCTGGAGGAGCAGTGTTTAGCATTAAGCCTCAAATACCTAAGCGTGTGCTCCCTCCAGGGTCCAGGAAAGGCTGGTACCAAGCGGGCGCTGGACTGTGGCTGTGGAATTGGACGGGTATCTAAAGGTGTTCTGTTCCCCGTATTTGAAACCATGGAGATGCTGGACATGATGGAGGACTTTATTCTCCATGCGCATGAGTGTTACTTGGGTGACTACGCTGACCGTGTGGAGACCTACTATGTCTACAACTTGCAGGACTTCATCCCTTTACCCGACAGATATGATGTCATCTGGATGCAGTGGGTAGCCTGTGAGTGACCACATGAGTGCTTGTGTGTATTTGATATTGTGTGGTTTGTTGGTTTGTGTACTACACCGATCAGGCATAACATTATGACCACCTCCTTGTTTCTACACTCATTGTCCATTTTATCAGCTCCACTTACTATATAGGTGCACTTTGTAGTTCTACAGTTACAGACTGTAGTCCATCTGTTTCTCTGCATACTTTGTTAGCCCCCTTTTACCCTGTTCTTCAGTGGTCAGGACCCCCATGGACCCTCACAGAGCAGGTACTATTTGGGTGGTGGATCATTCTCAGCACTGCAGTAACACTGATGTGGTGGTGGTGTGTTAGTGTGTGTCGCGCTGGTGTGAGTGGATCAGACAGCAGTGCTGCTGGAGTTTTTAAACACTGTGTCCACTCACTGTCCACTCTATTAGACACTCCTACCTTGTTAATCCACCTTGTAGATGTAAAGTCAGAGACAATAGCTCAACTGCTGCTGCACAGTTTGTGTTGGTCATCCTCTAGTTCTTCATCAGGGGTCACAGGATGCTGCCCACAGGACGCTGTTGGCTGGATATTTTTGGTTGGTGGACTATTCTCAGTCCAGCAGTGACCTTGAGGTTTTTAAAAATTCCAGCAGCGCTGCTGTGTCTGATCCACTCAGACCAGCACAACACATACCAACACACCACCACCACGTCAGTGTTACTGCAGTGCTGAGAATGATCCAACACCCAAATAGCACCTGCTCTGTGAGGGTCCATGGGGGTCCTGACCACTGAAGAACAGGGTAAAAGGGGGCTAACAAAGTATGCAGAGAAACAGATGGACTACAGTCTGTAACTGTAGAACTACAAAGTGCACCTATATAGTAAGTGGAGCTAATAAAATGGACAACGAGCATAGAAACAAGGAGGTGGTCATAATGTTATGCTTGATCAGTGTATATCAACAGTTCAGTTCATGTCAGCCAGAGGTAATTAGTCCTGGTCCTGGAGATCCACCCCTGCTGGAGAGTTCAGATCCTACACACCTGGCTCTAATATCCAGATGCTCCTGAAGGCCTTAATTACCTGGATCTGGTGTGTTAGATTGGAGTAGGAGATAACCTTACAGTGTGGTAGAGCTCCAGGACCAGGAATGGGCACCCCTGATGTAGGCTATTACTACAGACCTGCATAAAAATTACAAACAAATAAAGAGTAATTCACACCACTGTCCATTTCCCTACTGTGAGTCTGACTTGATGGTCCTGTCTTCAGGTCATCTGACAGATAAAGACCTGATGGAGTTCCTGAAGAGAGCAAAGGAGAGCCTGACACCCAACGGGGTCATCATCATGAAGGACAATATGGCACGGCAGGGCTGCAGGCTGGACCCCGTCGACAGCAGCATCATCCGCCACTTGGACATCATGAAGAGCATTATCCAGAAAGCTGGTCTGACCATACTGGACGTGGAGAAGCAGGAGGGCTTTCCTGAGATCATCGTGCCTGTTTGGATGATTGCCATGCGCTAAGTCTCTGGTGGTAACTTTATTTCAGTTCAGTTTGATTCCAGGCCTAATTTTCTGGAAATACTATGCAGACTGAGATCATTGTAAGATGACAGAAGTGGTACATTTGAACTGCTCCTTCTAACATCTGATGATTTCACAGCTGTAGTATTTTTGGAAAATGTGTGCAAGTTCCTAATTTGATTTGAAGCAAGTTCAATTCAGTTTATTTACATTCGGTTGACTGGAATCAGTTCAATTGAATTCAGTTCAGTTTAGTATAAGCGCACATGGCTTTTTTTGTTTTAGAGTGAGGCTCGAGAAACAAACCAGTCAAAGCATTAAAATAACACTATTAATTTTTATTTTATTGCATGTTTTTGGGATACAATGTTTTTAGCATTCCTTAGAATGAATAATATGAGCACTCATAAAAATATGCTTAGAAAAAAAGCTGTTAAGTTATTCATAACATATTATAACTTTCCAGAATATACAGTAATGTAAAACATTATCATGCTGTCTGTTGTATTATGGTATAGTCATTAATTCTGAGTAGATAAAGAGAATATTTTCTAAACACACAGGTAATATAAAACGATAACCTATTCAAGAACCATTGTCAAGGTAAACTGTGATGTCTTTGTTCTCTCCCTTCCAGATATTGTTTTTTTGTTTGTTTTTGTTTTTCATTTGCTTTGTTCATATCTATTTATGCTGAAGACAATAATAATTTACACTGATCAGGAATAACATTATGACCACCTCCTTGTTTCTACGCTCATTGTCCATTTTATCAGCTCCACTTACTATATAGGTGCACTTTGTAGTTCTACAATTACAGACTGTAGTCCATCTGTTTCTCTGCATACTTTGTTAGCCCCCTTTTACCTTGTTCTTCAGTGGTCAGGACCCCCATGGACCCTCACAGAGCAGGTAGTGGATCATTCTCAGCACTGCAGTAACACTGATGTGGTGGTGGTGTGTTAGTGTGTGTTGCGCTGGTATGAGTGGATCAGACACAGCAGTGCCGCTGGAGTTTTTAAACACTGTGTCCACTCACTGTCCACTCTATCAGACACTCCTACTTTGTCAGTCCACCTTGTAGATGTAAAGTCAGAGACGATACCTCGTCAGCTGCTGCACAGTTTGTGTTGGTCATCTTCTGGTCCTTCATCAGTGGTCACAGGACACTGCCCACAGGACACCGCTGGCTGGATATTTTTAGTTGGTGGACTATTCTCAGTCCAGCAGTGACACTGAGGTGTTTAAAAACTGATCCACTCAAACCAGCGCAACACACACTAACACACCACCACCACGTCAGTGTTACTGCAGTGCTGAGAATGATCCAACACCCAAACAGTACCTGCTCTGTGAGGGTCCATGGGGGTCCTGACCACTGAAGAACAGGGTAAAAGGGGGCTAACAAAGTATGCAGAGAAACAGATGGACTACAGTCTGTAACTGTAGAACTACAAAGTGCACCTATATAGTAAGTGGAGCTGATAAAATGGACAATGAGCGTAGAAACAAGGAGGTGGTCATAATGTTATGCCTGATCGGTGTATATTGAACGTTTATTTTGATCAAAACAGTAAACATCAAACACAGATGGATGTATATAATTACATGACTCTTTTTTATTTTCTACACATATTAGCAACAAACCTTTTAAAATTTTAAGTCATTTCTTGTTTCTCTGTCATGCTGTTACTTTTGTAGCCTGAAACAATTCAATGTATTAGTAGTGCCTGTTGTATACTGTACTACTATATCAATAAACAGACAAGATCATAAACATGTCCTCAACAGAAAGGCCTCTGTCTCTAAAATAGCCTAGATCATACTCTTAGGTATTTGATGATAACTGAAAACATGTAAATAACATTACAACAGAGATACATGTGTGGGAAACGGATTATGAAGACGTTTCATTTGACATAATATCATACAGCCCATGCATTTCCTTTGTTTCTGGAGTAAAGGGATTCTTCCCCCCAAAAACATCCAACCACAAATACAGCAGTTGTACTCTTCATAGTCTTGACCTGAAGCTCATCCTTCCCTCACGATAATAAAGAAATAGAAAGTAATCAAACTCTCCCCCTTGAAAGGCCACGGTAATGACCGAGAGCATTTTGTTTTGTTTCCCGAACCATGAAAAAACCACATTGTTTAGGTAAATCACTCTCAGATGGTCTCTTTGTACGGAGACGTGGAATTGTTGGGGGCTTTTGACAGAACACTCTTTTGTGTCCGCCTTGGCCCCCGGCCAGACCTGTCACATCCTGTCTGCATAAAGAGCATCACGGCGTCGCCTCAAACATTCCGCGTGTAGATGTTTTGAGCGGCTCAAGTTGAAAAGCTCCAGCGGTTCCTCCTTCCCATGAATGGACGGTCTGTCGAGAACGTCCAAAAAAAAGGGAAATATCCGAGCCTTCTCGGCACGAAATGCCGTCAGACGACTAGATCCCGTCCTGTGTCCGCCGTGGCATGAACTGAGCTGGTTCTCTTCTAATTCCTCTCACACACGAGCCTTTTTGAGGGCCCTTTTTTCACATTATACAACGCCCTCGGGCCGCGGAGCTGTGTTCCTGGCCGATATTTGCACAAACAGCGGCCAAACGTCCAGCCACACATTCAGAAATAGTTAGCATGCCTGGCAATCTGTACTATCATTCCTAATCTAACTCACTTTCCTACCTGGCAGCCTGGCAGCCATTGGGCCACATTAACAGAACTAACATTAATAAATCCAGTCATATTAGCAGCGAATTGGGCCTGAGTCCAGGTATGGAAAGAGTCAGCGGTAACACTGACAGGTAAGTGGGGTCTTTGGACTGACACAGATAATTAGACCAATAAATTCGGCGCACAGGCAGCCTTCAAGGCCAGGGCCAAATCCAAACTGACAGAACAATCATATTTCAGGGTTTTAGCAGAAGCATTAGATAAGACAAGAATTCTCCTTTGAACTTTCGAAACCCGACAGGATTTTAAACCACACGTAACACAGTTTGAATTTAATGCAGCTGTTCTACTCATGCGTTCCTGCAGGACTGAAGACCACAGGCTCAAGCAGCTGCAGGCTGCGCCATTAGCTTAGTGCTCAAACCCTTATTGCCAGGAGGGTCAGGTTTCTGGAGGTATAAAGTCATGAACATCTCCCTGTAAATGATAATAAGGAATGGTCCTGAGCACTTGAGGATCTGGAGTTGGCTGCTGTGATTGTAAATACGCACCGCATGTCGTCTTGGGAAAGGCTTTAACCTTGTTCTCCTTGACGGCTGAACATATACCACCACTCTCACCACTGTGTAGTTCATCTTCGCTCTGAATCAGGCCTTGGAGAACACCGGTTCAGTTCATACAGACATAATTCATCTCACAGAGCTCTGAGGTCATGTTGTCATTCTGTAGTCTGCATTATGTCCATTTTAGGACCTCCAGGTCAAAGCTGGGCTCTCTATGTGGAAAATAAATGGCGTTCTAGAACATCGCTACTATCATGCCCTATTGCAAACAAATGTTCTAAACCCGATACGGACATTTTTCCTCTGAATCTCACTGGATCCTCTGAATTATGAGGTCATTAAGAAGCTAAAATACGACTATTGATACATGCAAGGTAACACTGCTGTGCACTGAATTGACATCACAACACTGGCAACCTCGCCAAAATACCTCACACAAACCAGCAAGCTTTGTCAATCATGGTTGTTAAGTTGCTTTGGCAGCTGTAACCAACAGTCTGAGAAGCTCATTTTGTTATGTAAGAGTTTAATATTGGACTTACATTGTTTGAACACCACAAATTGCATATTTTAATACGTCCTGTTCAGTGAACAAGCTTAAATATGCCGTTTTTCAAACTTTAGTGCACAATTTCTTCTTTTTTTTTTGGTGAATTAACCTTCTCAACTCCTTGAGACCACCGGTGGTTCCAAAACGCACTTGTTTTCACTTAGAAAAACAACAAAGCGCCATTAGACTGGGGTGCCTAAAATTTTGCATATCGCTGCTTTCGGATCAAAACCTCGTATCTCCAAAATAGTAACTTTACAGGAGAAAGAAAAAACATACTTTACTTTTAATGTGAGTCAATGGAACCAGACTTTTTTCCAAGTAATTTTGGGCCGTTTCTTTTGGTCCATTCATCATGAAATTTACATACATTGTAAAGGGCAACAGGCATTTTCTAATTATGTCAGAAACTGAAAAGCGACAAAAATGGAGATAAGAGGTTTTGTTCCAACAGCAGCGATATGACTGTATATCACTGTTGTCGGAATAAAACCTCGTATCTCCAAATGGGTAACTTTACAGGAGAAGAAAAAAACAGATGTTGTTTTTAATGTGAGTCAATGGAACCAGACTTTTTCCAAGTAATTCTGGGCCATTTCTTTAGGTCTGTTAATCATGAAATTTACACACAATGTAAAGGGCAACAGGCATTTTCTAATTATGCCAGAAACTTACAAACGATAAAAATGGAAATACAAGATTTTGTTCCGAGAGCAGAGATATGTACCAGTTTTTGTATTTTGGCTGCTCAATTATCTTGTAATACAGGATCCATCAACATTCTGGTGAAAAATGTATGCGGGACAAAACGTATCTGGTTCGGAATGGTTTTGTTTATCACAGAGCAAGATTTATAGAGAAATCTGCTTCAGCTCGAACTCTGATTCCAGAATAATGCACGACTTTAGTGGTCTATAACAAGCTATGAATGTCGCGCACTAACTATAAGCTGTTCCCCAGGAGGACCAGCTCTCCTATAACCTCAGCTGGCACACACTTAGATGTGATCCACTGCATGTGTTTTGAAACTGAGATGTCATAACGTGCAGATGACATTACAGTAATCGAATTGCTGTACTATGCAAAATAACAGTTTCTGGCTTTTGTGTCTGACCAGTTTTAAAAGAATTAGCTTTTATTTGGAAAAAAAAGTGTCTTGCTTTTTGCCAGAGAATTTGTTATGTATTTAGAGTATGTTGCTATTCCAATATCCTGAG